TATTAAAAATATTGTCTAATGAAACCTTGTCACAGAAAAAAGCTTCGTCGAGAAAAGGTCAACGAGTAAAATTTAGTTAATTGAAAAACCAAAATTAAAAGTTTTGATTTAGCAAACAGTATGCTATTTCAAGAATAGCAAAGGTAAAATTCATTTTATTAATTTTAAAAAAAAAGATAAAGAGAATTTTAAACACAGATTTTTTTGGAGTTGCCCTGCGCTATAGCAAAAATAAAGCAGTTTTAAAAATCTCGTAGAACGAGAGACAATATGCTTTTGGTTTGAAATCTTGACAAATTCTCTGTAAAAAAATACTAAATAATATGTAAAATAAATGAAAAAAATCTTCTTTTGATTTCAGACAACACCGCTACATGTAGCAGCTAAAAATGGTCATGATGAGGTTATACGCATTTTAATAAACCAAAACGCTAACGTCAACGCAGCGAATGACACTAAGGTGAAGCATTATCCGGAGAACTTTTAGTCTTTTTAACGTCATATTTTGGCTTGACAACGCATATTTATCAGAAAATAATTACAGATGACTTTCGTAAAGCAAGAAAATTTTGTTTAGTTTAGTGAGCAATTTCTCTACAGATATTTTGAAAAATCAGTATTACTGTTTACTAGCAGTGTCAATTCTGCAAATTCTGCTTGATGCTTTTATTGCCAGTACTTCGACGAGCAATGTAGAAAAAGAAGCGAGATTAAAACTAAAAAAAAAGAAATGAGAGGACAAAAAGACATAAAACTAAAAGCAAATTATAATGACAATACGGTTCTTGAAGCTCTAAAATAGTAGTTTTCTGAGCAAAACTATCACCGTTTTGGAAGTTACAAAGAAAATTAAAAACAAATAAACACTTTAAATAATGACAGAATAGTCTAAGATTTGAAATTAGTTGTAAAAATTTCAAAAAAGTTTCTGACTTATTGAAACTGAAAGTGGTCGTAGGGGTGGACCATGAAGACCAAAAGAGCAAAAAATCTGGTGGATAATCAAAAAAAAAACCTATTTTCTTGCAAAAACGCAAAGAAAGAAAGCGAATAAGCCAAAAAAAGATCGAAAAACACTGTTTTAAACTGTTGTAAAAAGAGCATAAACTTTAAATTTTGTTCAACATCGTATTCAAATAAAAGGTGAGATTTTAGGTAATTTGCACCGTATTGAGAAAAGAGACAAACTAAGCCAGATTTCTCTCCTTTTGTTTAGTTTACTCCGTTGCACTATGCGTCTTTGAAAGGATTCATAAAGGTGGTGCAAATACTGGTGGAAAACAAGGCAGATGTTAATGCAAGAGATGATATCAAGGTAAAAAGTTCTTATACAAAATAATGTTCTTCCAATTTGTATTTTTGGTCACTTTTTGGTAAAACTATGCAGCTAGCAGTGCTCAACAAAGCTCTCCATTGTTTTGTGTTTTTTACCCGCTTAACACAATGATTTTTAAAACACGGTCAAGAAAAAAAAACAGAAAAAAAAAGAAACGAATTGATAAAGTAAAAAGCAATAAAAATAGTAGCGACCAGAAGTGAGTTTTCGAGCTAGATGCAATAAAGGGAATCTGTAGTACTTTTCCATCATAGCATTTCCTCAATTCTTTTCACTACCGATAAAAATGGCGGTGTTATAGGTCTAGCTAGCAGTGTTAGCTTCGTAGTCAAAAGTTTTACAGTTTGTTAGGTGCACACAGAAATATCACCAAAAAAAGATATTTTTTTTAAATTTAAAATGATTATTTAATTTTTCAAAAAATTTATCTCATTAAATCATTTTTGGTAAAAATTTGAAAAAACATTTGAAGAAAGGAGCAGCTTATAAAATGTAACTCATCATCAACAATAGCATAATGCGCATCATTCAAAAAAAAGCACCGAATTTGGAGAAAACTTAGTGTTTGTTTTGAAACCTAAGTACAAAAGATAGTTTTCTTAACTGTTTAAAAAGTGGAAACGTTTTTAGCCATTGGCAATACGTGGAAATAAGTGGTCTTTTCAATAGCCTAAAGCTTCGGCAAATGTAAAGACATTATGTGTAAGGCTTCTAATCTGAAAAAGTGCTGCTCAAAAGCCTTCTTCTGCCTTATTTTATAAAACTTTGTACAACTTCCTAGTTTTCTGTTTACCAGTACAATTCCTAAAAAATTGTAAAAGGTGACGCAGCAAAAAACGAATATATTCGCGCGCCAGATGTTTAGAAATTTTGCCTGTATTTTGGTGGTTGTGGTATAATGGGAAAGCACTAAATTTTTCCGTTGTATCCCACAATCAAAACGAAAAATAAGACTGACTGAAAACGAAAATAGAAAGAGTAATGTATAGGCAATTATGCGGACAGTGAACAAAAAAGGGACAGGAAACTACTCTGCTTTTTTTCTAGACAATGCCATTACATCTAGCGTCTTTTGACGGAAGCGCCGAGGTGGTTGAATATTTAGTAAAGAAAGGAGCTAAAATTAGTGAATCGAACAAGGACGGGGTAAGACTGGGCGAACGAATTCAAAATCCGTTTTTTCATCAGTTTAAATTCTCAACTTCTTATAAAAAATTTGATTGACGTTATAGACGTTGGTCCAAAAGCTTGGCAATTTATCCCTTTCAGATTCAAACTTATAAACTTAACCTTCTAAGCAACATCTGTTTAATCAAGTTATTAGCGAGCAAAAAACTTGTCGTCGTTATTAATTCTTCTTTTTCCATAACTATTTTTACCCGAGATGCTTTCGACTCTTATATCCTGAAAAATTTTGTCAAAATAGATAATTCCTAATTTAGCAAAGAGGGAAGACTTCTACACTGTAGTCAGCAGATTTGATTGTAAACAAATAGGTGCAGCAACATCTCTATTAAATATTTCGTATTACCAATACGAATATGTAGCTCTGATTACATTGCTGAAAGCTTAGTAACAATCTGTTGCAGACTTTAATGAGCGAATAGGTAGATGCAGTTTTAGAATCTAAACGCTATCAGTAAACCTTGAAAACAGTTGACTGAAAAAAATACTACTTGAAATTAACAAGTTACTTGTTTAGAAATAAATTTCAAATGATAACAGTCGTTTGCAAAACTTGAAGAAATTCTTGAATGTTTGTTTATTTTTTGTAAAAAAAAAAGTGAGATAAAGGTAATTTTTTCTTGGTTTGCAGAGAAAACCAATACATTTCGCAGTTTTGGCTGGGTCTTTCAAAGTTGTTGAGTACTTACTGAATTGTGGAAAAGAAAAAGCCGGCATAAATGCAAAAGACAATAATGGGGTAAATTTTTGTCAGTATAGTAAAACACACTACGAGTTAAAACAAATTCTTAATTTATTTGGGAGTTTAGAAACAACGTTTTTTTTTTTTATTTTAGAGAACCCCGCTTTATGAAGCAATTTCTATGAACTTTCTCAAAATTGCAAACTACTTGGTTGACCAAGGAGCAGACACCAACGAAACAGATAATGACAAAGTAAAATTTTTTTTAAACACTACAGAACTTTAGTTATTTCAATTTCCCTAGTCTTAGTTTTTTCCCAAACTAAAGCTTTTATGAGGTTTAAGAAAGCAGCTCGCAATGCAGTAAACTTTTCTCAGGAGATCTACTCTTTTGCCAAGATGTAGTCACTCTATCAGATTGTGAAAATTTCGAGAACTTTTGAGCTATAAAAGTGTATTTTTGAGCGTGACTGGTCTTGTCAGTCGATTACAGAACTAAATAAAACATGAATCTTAAAAAAGACAAATGCGCAAGTGAAATCTAAGTGTAAATACAGGTAAATTTAAATCAAAGTTTTGATGGAGTAAAAGTTAGCTTAAAATAATTAAACTTTGTTGCAGAAATTGTCTTAAACGTTTTTTAGCTATAAACTTTTTCTAGCTAAATTTTGTCTGACTTTTATTTAAATTTTAAAATTTTCTTACGATAAATAACCTCAATTAAGAATTTTAAAGAAGATTATTGATTTACACATGTTTCTGAAATTACTGATATATATATTATTTTATAAATTATTGTTTTCACAGGTTTTAACTTCTTTCTTTCCTGAAGCTTACTTAAAAGACCGTTTTTTTAAGTGTAAAAAGTGTACTTTTGTAATATGATACGTAAACTATTAACAAACATATAAAAAGTAAGAAATAGAAAAAAATAAGAGAAAAAGCTGTTGAACTGTCGTTTTTAAAATAGTTTCTCTACCGCCTTTTGTCTATGAATGAAAACTTCAATAGTACCTCTTTTTTTGAAGAATGCGAAGAAAGAAATGAGTAATAAGCATATAATCCATTGCAGTTGGCGAATTTTCTACAGCATATTCAGTTTCTGAAGAATAACTCGATTAGTATGAACTGTTTGTACAGCTTTAGAATACATTTGTTTCAAGTAATTTTTATTTGTTCTTCAGAAAACACCATTACATATCGCAGCTGAAAATGGTGGAATGGAAATGGTACAGTGCTTGCTAGGTGGAGGAGCTAATGTCAATGCTAAAGATAAAAACGATGTGATTCTTTAAAAAATTTAATAAAATTTTTTTGTTGCTATGCATTTTGGTCTATAAAAATTCTATGGTCGGTCTTGTCAAAAAAAAAAAAAGAAGTACAGAGAACTTTTTTTATATTTCCAAGTAAGGAGACTTTTTAAGTAGATTAATCATAGAAAGAAAGATCTAAAAGATCTCAAATTCTATCGATACTGCCAAATCAGATAATGTTGCATTTCAAACGTTACAGCAAATAGCAAAAACAGTGAGACAAAAAAAGTTGTCGAAAGAAAACAAACTCAGAGTGAAAATTGTCAATAAAATTGTTCTGAAAAACAAAAGAAAAAAATAAAAAATTTTTATTAGTCAAAAAAAACTGTTACATTTTTGCGGTTAACAATTTTAATAAATTTATTAAAGTGGTTTCTTTTCATTTTCAGCAAACACCATTACACTGCGCAGCTTTGAGTGGATCTGTTGTCGTGGCACGGCATTTAATGGAAAATGGGGCAGACATAAATGCAAAAGACGCCAGTGGCGTAAAACTTTTCATGATATTTACAAAATTCATTTGTTTTTTCTACAGATTTCAAAATTTTTGATACTTTAAAGTCAGCTGTTAAAAGATGATTGCTTAGACTATAAATTTTAAATTTTTAAAACTTTTAAAGCAATGCATCAAATTGTCTGTTAGGTATTGGAAGCAAAAAATAATTTTTTTTTTTTTGTTCTTTCAAGTTCTTTTCTTTTCTAATTTATAAGTAAAAATGTTTTTTAAAATATATTAAGTAACTATAAAATAAAAAATAAGAACGATAAATAGTAGCTGAAAATACACAGTTTTATTGTTTTTTTCTCGGTTGTTTCTCGGTTGGAAAACTTCTCTAAAATACAATTGAGAATTGATGTCTCTGTGACAGATGACAATCAATTAATCCCAAAGCTGAAAAAGTTGTGGAAACTTTTTCCTGTAATTTTTGTGCTTTTTTATCGAACAAATTTTAACTTTCAAAACAACACTGACTAAAAAAAACTGTTCTCGCTGAAAATTAGCAGAAAATATTAGGTTTGCTTTTCCAGTCGACTGACAGCTTTGACAATAGCAGTGTACTTATAGTTTTATCCATCTTTTCGTCATTTTTTTTCCAGAAAACCCCATTTAAAATTGCAAAAGAAAATTCGCATACAAAAGTTGTTGAAGCGATCTATGAAAAACATGACGGTTTGTTCAACGCTTAGCTTTTTTACCATGATTTTTACCTTTAAACTTATTATTAAAGCGAAATCCTTAGCGATCGGCTGTCGATTTTGTAATGCTTATCTTTCATCGTCTTCTCGTTTATATTTGAGAAGAAAAAGAGCGAAAAAACAACTATCAAATTGAGCCTTAATCAAAAAAAGCTTCTCAACAGCGAATCTGTCATTCTGACTAAAGATAGATTAATACGGATACAACTTTCAAAAAACTCACTTTTTAGATGCAAATAAATGTTAAACGTTCAAGATAGACCACAATAGTCAAGTTTGCTAAATTTTTTCTGGAATACTTTTATTAACTGTAGGAGTAAAGTTTGAATAGCTTCAATTCTATTGTCAAGTCTGAACAGTAATTCTTGTTTGAAAAGCCTTAACCGTTTTATAGCTCCATTTATAATCTTAATAAAACTTCCTTACTACAATTTAACTTTTTGCTGCACAAAATTACTCTAGACTATGTTTCAGTTAGTTTAATTTTTTAGAGTCATTTTACGGCTTTAGTAATTTAGACAGTTTGAAACTGCCATTTCAAAAAAATTTTGAAGTTCATCCGCAGTGATCCTCTCTAATTGCATAAACTTTTGTACAGAGATCAAAAAACTTTTTATTACAAAGTCATAAAGTCTGAAAGCTTCTTTTTTAATACCTAAACAATGTAAAAGAAATTTTTGTTCATTTAATCTTGAAATTTTTGTCTTTTTGTAGCACTGGTTTGTGTTTATCTGTGTCAAACAATACTATTTCGTATTGTACAACACTACTGAACCTTTAAACAGTACTATTTCAACAATAAGAAAAGCGGTGTACAAGGATATTCGTAAAAAGATTTGAAACTTTACTCAGACTACCTCAGTTCGTCAAATCTTTTTATCCTTTCTTTAGTTAAATGTAGTAAACAAGCAAAAAAGTTTACCAAAAATTTGCTGACGCTTGTACACATGCCTAATTTTTGAATATCTCTCCTATTTTTGTGATGGTAAATGACAAAATAGAAACTTGCGTATAAAAACTGTAAATTTTTCCGCTTTTCTCGCTTCTGTAGCATTATTTTATCTATTTTTTTTATCTATTCTAAATCTTTACAAATTTTTAGACATAGAAATTCGAGGAAATATGAATACCGTCAGTTATCTGCTCATAGGAGAGAATCAAAAAAAGCTTCTTAAAGGCTTTTGTTTGACGCGTCAGAGCGTTAAGGAATTTATGTTAGTAATTTATTTAATTAGCTGTTTGACCGGCAAAAAGTTATCAAAAAATGCTGTACCA